CCTGAAGATAGAAGAGTTTGTTGAATCTGACGTGACATGTTCGTACGAACCCTTTGTACGAACAAAAGTAAGAGAAATTTAGGATAAGAATACGAAAATGTTCCTACATGAGGCCCATTGGATCTAACTGTTTGTGTTTATATTGCGCAGAAAGCTGCATCACTGTAGAGGCCAGCAGGGATCGAAATATTTCAAATTGCAAATCTTATTTCATTTAATTTGCGACAACAATAATGAACTACACCAAACTCAAAGAAAAAACATCACAACACAGAGAATGGTAAGCTAATAATGGTAGCTAATGTTAGCTTGTTGTTGGTAATTTGTTTTTGGTATCTTGCTGCAGATGTTGTTTAGTTGACCTTATAAAAAGGAAAAGTCACAGATTCATGTAAACTTTCTCTCATCTGTATTATGTGTCTATGTTAATTAAGACTATTTGGCATCCTAGGAGCCATGTTATTGAATTAGTCCACATTAAATGTCTGTTCTGATGTAATTTTTCAGGAACAACTTATACTCTGGAGTGATTTATCTATATATTTTTTCTCTTTAAGATGCATTTTTGACTGGTGAAACGTACTCTGAAGTGTCTTGGAAAATATTGTATATACACTCCATCACAATGGCCTTTTTAAATTAGTCTCAACTTATTGCAGTAGTATTGAAGAAAGTATCAGGGTTTAGGTTATATACTGATTTTAATTACACTACATTTGGTATAGTTTCATGATAGAACTGCAATGATTGTTAAATGTGACTGTTTTGCTTAACTTGATGATTTTTATATTAATAACTACTTGCCTGAAAACAAATTCACTACATAACTGAACTTTTAAATCCTCATTAGGGTAGGTTTTTGATGTCTGAGGGCATGGCTTCCAGTGAGAAGAGGGACCCCCCCCCACCCCACCCCACTGATGACATAATCAACTAGGTGGAGCCATGCCTCGGAGCTTTTATTTAAACCAATTGTACTTCCTTATTTTCGGCCTGAACTCCTGGTCACTTGATTAAACAAGACTTCAGCAGAGAGCACTCTTTGGTTTTGTACAGTTCCTCTTTAATAATCTTTTCCATACATTTGTACATTCACCATATGGTTAAGCACACATCCTGGTAAAATGTACTCTTGTGTATAATGTGAGCCCACAACTTTATGGATGATTTTTAGGGTTAAATGTCATGCATTATACATGCAAATTACAATACATCTCATTTTGAAGCTTGTAAAACACAGCAGTAAAAAATAATAATAACTCAATGGTGAAAAATTCCTAATTCTAACTCATTTTGCCAGCATGTGTTTCAAATGTTCAACACCAGTAGAACTTACTGGGTAGAGCTGAAAGTCTTGACCAGTATTAACCTTTGTACAAAAATATCTGTCAAAAGAATCATCTTAAAACATTTCTTACTCAAACCCACTATGTCCTGATAAATAAGTCACCATTTTAATTGCAAAAACAATCGCCAAATGGTCAACTATCAGTATTGTCAATAAGTTGCATGTTAAGGCAAACCATAAAACTGTAAGACGGTTGCACAAACTCCATTTAAAACCACAACTGTCAGAAACCAAAAATATTTGTCATAGTCCAAAAGGATGAATGTGTGTTGTCCCAACAGGTTATCAGGGCACTACAGGACCAGAGATGACACTGAGCCGGCTAGGCGCAGGAAGGGGCCATTTTCTTGGAGTGACAAATATGTAGAGGAGACAAAGACAAAACTGAGAGCAGAGCCCCTGATGGTAAAATGCTTGAGCTTTGTCTTTGTCACACTGTGTGACAAAGACGCACAGCTCCGCTCCCTGAGGTGCGCAGTTATATGTAGCCTGTGTGTATGTGTTTGTGCTGAATCGAAGTCACAAAACCAGCCTTCTCATATCACTGAGTAAACTCTGTCTCAACTCCTGAGCTTCTGGTCTCAGTGCTTGTGGCAAAACACGTAAAAAAAAATATATATATATCAAGACTTCAGCCCTGTTACATAAAATTGAAGAATTAGCCTCACTGACGACAGTTAAATCAGCCCATGTTCAAACGCTGCATAACCACTACCTTATAAGTCTACAGGTGAGCCGAAGGAGATAAAAGTGGACGTTTAATGGCAGCAGCTGGTGTGAGCGGTGACTTGGTCTGAGGTGAGGGAACACTTGCTCTACAGAGCTGCTTCGAGCCAGCAAGATTAATGGAGGCTCTCTGGAGCAAAGGCAACAACCACAGCTTTAATAAGGTACAAACAATCGGTTCCACTCCACTGGCCTCCCAGGGAAAACTATTGTTGTGCTGCATTGTTTCTTGGTGAGGTTCCTCGGAGACACGTGCCTAGTGCAGTGTGTGACTGTCTCCGATACAGCCAGGGGAGAACTCAGYGTAGACCTTCGTTTGTCTGTGTCAGAGTGAAGCCTGGCTCTCTCCCACCCCTCCCACTGCACCGCTTTCCAAACTTTTCCCCCTTTTTTGTCACTCACCTCAACTCCCTGCACTTTCAACTTCATGTGATCCTCCCGCGTGGTCTTTCCATCTTTCCTCTTCTTCCAGCAGTAGCCGTCCTTTCTGTACTTCACCTTCTTCCTATTGTACAGTATCATCGACCCATTCTGCGGCCTGGATCCAGGGAGACAGGGCAGACAAAGGGAGAGCAAAAAAAGAGAATTGTGAAATGTTTCTTTTATTTTTTTATTTTTAAGGTAAAATAAAGCTCAGCTTGGGAACTCATTTCAGAGATGTCCAAAAAGGCCTGGCGTGAGTCTGGGCCAAACAGTGAAAAAAGTGAAAAATATTCAACAGAGACTCAGCTGACAAGACTTCATCATGGTGTTTTTCAGCATCTACAGTATATGCACAGTTTGACAATAGACTAGCTATCATCATGCAGTGTTTTAAAGAGTGTGAAGTGTGTGCTCTAGGGCAGAGATTCCCAAACGTTTTATCTTCTGACCCACAAAATATCCATGGCTTAAACTTGTGAACGCAAATATTACTAGTCTGAGTACACGAACTTCATTAATAACCCCAAAAACACAGGCTTTTTGACAWTCTAAACAGYTTGTACACAAATATAAATACTTATTTATASTTATTTTGTGTTTTTGTAATATTTATAGAGAAAATATTACATCAGCAATTATTTTATTACCCTTTAAATTGATTTCTGGAGATTATCCAAGGCGCTTCATGACCCATAATTGGGTCCCAAGCCCAACTTTGAGAACCAAAGAGCAATGGTTCCCAAAATTTTCAGCTTTTGACCCAAAAAAATAACAGTAACAGAGACCTGTGGCCCCAACTGCTTTTGGACGATGAACATTTGTATCAGGTCAACTAAACATGGGCATAGTAACAATATTTTTTATACTACATTTATCCATTTCAAATATACTAACCTCACTCCTTTGTAACAATTAAGGCAAAAATGTAATTAATTCAGAAAATCTTTTCAGGACCCCACTTTGATGTTTCGGGACCCCACTTTGGGTCCCGACCCCAACTTTGGGAAACACTGCTCTAGGGTACAGAAAGGTGGGCTTCCACCATTATCTCTCAATCATCCACCTTAAATGAGTTGTGGCGTTGGAAACCCCTTGGGGAAAGAGAAGATCCTCCCTCAGAGTCCATTCATAATTCATCCTCCCACMGCCAGACCACAGCCCGCTGGCTCATTCTAATATAATGTAACTATTTGATGATAATCGGCCTTCCACTTAGATTTGTATCAGAAGCATTTGGCACTCAGTGTCGGACATTAACAGAAAGTGTAGCATAAAATATTTATGACTTTCTCAACAATCAGGAAGCAGATGTACGCTTGTATTGGTATTTGCACGTTTGGCGAAATGGCTTTGTGTCGTCATTATAAATCCATACATTTTGCTGCGCTGCACATTTCCTCACTCTTCCATCATCCAGCACAGACACAATCATCGACTCCACCAAAAGACATACGCTATCTATAGCAACAAATGTAACTCGCACGATGTCATTTCAGCATTGACAACTAGATGTGTGCCCGCGCAACAGTCTCACCAAAGGGCGCTTGCTGTCAAGCAAGACAAATATACCATCTACCACAAATTTGATACAAAGCTCATGAGTTTTCTTTTTAAGAAGGGAACTTTGATATGGCAAAGCTCACTCAAATAAATTATGTTGAACACAGTGATTTTTTTTATTGTTTATTCACAAAACAAAGTTGTTAATGAGATTCATAGAAACTGGAAAAGTCCACTCTACTTCAATCCTTGTGTTTATATCAGAACTAAAAGGGAAAAGTYTGGTTTTACCAGGTTCAAAATTTATCCAAATCTAACCCCAATGGTACAAAAACACACAAATTTCATCCTGCCATTATTTTTGAAATAAAAATGAAGGTCAAATGGAAAAGCAGTGTGTGAAAAACTAAATCCATCCCATGATTCAACAGCTTGCAGAACTTCCTTTAGCAACAATACTAGAACTGGATGCTTTCTATATGCCTTTATTAGTATCTCGCATTGCTTTGGAGGAAATCCGGCCCACTCTTTTTTCCCAACATTGCTTGAGTTATTTGCAGAGATTCATACCTGCACATCTCTCCAAAACATCTTTTCAATCAACTTGAGAGGTCTGGACTTTGACTGGACCATTGCAGCACCGTTTTTCTTTTCTGTTTCAGCCATTCTGTTCATTTGCAGCTGTGTTTTGGGATCATTGTCATGTTGCATCATGAATCTGAGATGGAGCTCTGGTATTTTTTTTTTTTTAATTTAATGAGTAAAACATTGTCTGACCTTGGGATGAATTTGTTTGAACTTCTACTGGGAAGACTCACAACTGTTTTAAAAGTTTTAAACTTGTGAATAATCTTTCTTACTGTAGACTGAGGAATATTAAATTGTTTAGAAATGGACCATCCCAGAATGATTGACAGCAGCAGTTGGCTCTCTGAGGTCACTGTTAGTTTTTCCTTCTTGGCGTGCCAGGATCAGTGTTTTTCTGTGTTCAGTTTTCTGTTTATTTCTTTTAGAGTTAGTTTCTGCATTTTACTCTGTGTTCAGTTTCTTCCTTGTCTCCTTGTGTTTCCAGCTTTTATCGGTCTACTTCCTCAGTCGGTTTTTTATTGAGGTGCTCATACTGATAATGCTCCGCGATTCAAGTGTGTTTGATCAGCAGCTCCTGGTTGTTATTTTCTCACTTAAATCGGATGGAAGCTGTAAGGATGGACTTAGCTTTTCACACACAGCTCTTCCATTTTGGTTTCAGTTTTGTTTAATGTATAATAACATGTTTGTAWCCATTGTGTGCTTTGGTACACTTGAGGAAACAGGAAAAAAATGTTTATTTTTATTGTGTCCCAATATGTAAGAATCTAACATCGAAAAGGAGGTGGATTTTTTTTTTCTGAATGTAAATCCAGGTTCTGCAAGCACGCAACACAAAGAGGAAAAAAGAAGAAAAAAATCTGACAAGTGTAATTGCTCATTTGGCGAGAGCCATTTCTTTCAAACTGAAAGAAATGGGACAAACGACTCTCTGCTTAACAGGTCATTCTGCTTGGTCCACTTGTGTTTTCCACCCTGTGATGAGAGGGATAATACATCTGATCCACCACTCTTGTACTCTTTCTGTCTCAGAGATTGCTGCTCAGGATTGGAGCATCCTAACGGCCTTCCATCACTCCTGATTAAGATGCTGAAAATAAGGCTRAAGTTCTGTCGCAAGCTCAATCTTACAACACAGAAAGATCTGGCATGTTGTTATTTTTCCCCCCTCGGTATCAGGCAAACACAAGTATTAGATGTCTAAACTTTACTTAAGTCCTAAATCCCTGTTACTGAGAGGGAGGCACAGAGCCTGTACTGGATGGTAGAAATGACCAAAAGCAGAATACAGAGAGAAAGTAAGTGGAGTGAAGATGATTTATGAAAATAAAACAGAACAATAATAGCAAAGTATGCAAAAGTTTGCTGATGCTATTGAGCTGACCTTTATTTTACTAAAAATCAACATGAATTCTTTTCTAATAGCTGCTTCCATTTGTCATTGTTAGGATTGATATAAATTGTGCGGTGGAGGATGAGATCTATTTTTTTATTGTAAAGGGGTGCATGCAAGAAAGAGTCTGCCTAGTTMCTCTAAAATGTTGAGATTTACACAATAAGTACCTGTTTTTATCTCCAAACAACAACTCTAAATATGATTATGTAAACACATTCATGTCAATAAGACCCATATACTCACATAAGCTTTGGAACGCACACACACAAAGTGAGTCTTGTCTCATGCACAAATGCTAAAAAATGCACACAAATACAGAGAAAAACTAGAAACAAAAAGCTTGAAAACTCACATCAAAAGTGAAGAGAAAGAAAAAAAAGCTGAGCTGATTTGTGCCTTCTGTAACAATAACCAAAATAAGAAAACCCAACAGTTGTTTTGCATTGTTTTGTTGTTTATTGTTACATTTTCTTTTCACAGGATTTATTTATAACCCTGCATGCATCATTTTGCTGGGCTGCCTTTGGGGGCTGTGGCGTGTGTTTATCTTGGTATCACTCATCAATCATTTTTTCTTCTCGCTGGATCTCAGGGGCCAGTGGGAAGGGAGGGGAAGGAGGAGGTGGGGGTCCCCACAGTCCCCGCTCTGTGGCCCCTGACAGCACCTTCTAATGAGAGACGCCACTCAGACGCTGACGTGATCGCTCCTCGCTGATCTCTGTTGCTCTCTTTCCTCCTCCCTTTGGTCTCCTCGCAGCCRCGCTCTTCTTGCCGTCAGTCAAGTAGCTGTGCACCAGGGAATGTCTTTGTCTTCTCCCTTGCTGTGACATCGTCTCTGCCACCCCCCCGTTTTACCCCTCACTCACAACTCTCTTTAGTTTAGAGCCGTTCTCGATGCTCACATCAGCACTTGGGCTCCGTGGCCGAATCTAAAAGTTTGGTTGCTATTGTTTGTTTCACTATCATTCCGAATTTCGTCCTTCAAAGGATACAAGGAGCGTGCGCTTTTTAAAATGTAGCTCAGCATGAGACAAAAAGATGGGCGCGGATGAGATAAGGCAGAAAATCAAATGACACGGGGCTATCTGGTCTCCTCCAGAGCACTGGAAATTGGGGTGAGGCTTCGGTGTCAGAGGCTCCATGCCGTATTTATCGGCTAGATGCAAAAACGTATTCGCTCAGCTATTTTTGAGGGACTGTTAGGTGGATGCTATTTTCAATTCAAGGCACTTTGGACAAAAGACCCTATAGGAACCCATTCTGAAGAGAGGACCAGTCTAAAGTGCCTGCTTTGTTAACATAATGGATCTTCGCTCCCCCTTGCTGTCTCCCTCTTTCTCTTTTGGACTCATTTTTTTTCCGACTGTATACTTAGGCGATTCAATTAATTTTATCAGAATTGCACATATTTATAGATGAGAGGGAAAAGCTAACAGCTCTGTGGTTATAGAAGCGTTACAGGAGGCCCCTTTGTCTCAGATGCCCAAATGTAGCAGATTAATATGTAAATGCAGGCCTCTGTCAAAGTGCACACAAACTCAGAAGCTGGCTCCCCGCTCACTTCTTTTAGAGTTTTCAGCGATAATAAGCTTTACCCTCAGGGTGGTGTTAGGCCTTGTCCGCTCCTTCAG